TGGTCGACAGAGCGAGACTCTGTGTAAAAATGAATAAATAAAAGAATATCTAGGATCTCTCTGTATTATTATTATTATTTTTACAACTGCTTGTGTATCCTCCATGGTCTCAAAATACAAAAGGCACTCTAAAAAGCGATTCGAATTTTATTTATTTATTTTTTTGAGACAGAGTCTCCCTCTGTCACATAGCCTGGAGTGCAGTGGTGCGATCTTGGCTCACTGCGATCTCTGCCTCCCCGGTTTAAGAAATTCTCCTGCCTCAGCCTCCCTAGTAGCTGGGATCACAGGGGCCCAACATCACGCCTGGCTAATTTTTTAATATTTTTATTAGAGACGGGGTTTCACCATGTCGGCCAGGCTGGCCTCGAACTCCTGACCTCAGGTGATCTGCCCGCCTTGGCCTGTTAAAGTGCTGGGATGACAGGCTTGAGCCACCGAGCCCGGCCGAGACGGGGTTTCTTCATGTTGGCCAGGCTGGTCTCAAACTCCTGACCTCAGGTGATCCACCTGCCTCCCAAAGTGCTGGGATGACAGGCATGTGCCACCGCGCCTGGCTAATATTTGTATTTTTAGTAGAGACGGGGTTTCACTACGTTGACCAGGCTGGTCTCGAACTCCTGACCTCAGGTGATCCACCCGCGTGGGCCTCCCAAAGTGCTGGGGTGACAAGTGTGAGCCCCCACACCTGGTCCCGATTTGAGTTTTCTTTTATGTTTGTGAACCCAGGTGGGACACCTCGGGCAGGTGCAGAGAATCTGACCTGCTGGGTTCATGATGTGGATTTCATGAGCTGCAGCTGGGTGGCAGGCCCCGCGGCCCCCGCTGACATCCAGTACGACCTGTACTTGAACAATCCCAAGTAGGTGTGCCCTTGGGCAGGTCGGGCTGTCCCCGGTGCAGGGGCCTTCGGGGCACGGTCGTCCCGCAACCTTACCGCTTACCGCAGCAGCCACGAACAGCACAGGTGTCTTCACTACAAAACGGATGCTCGGGGAACACAGATCGGGTGTCGGTTCGATGACATCGCTCGACTCTCCCGCGGTTCTCGAAGTTCCCACATCCTGGTGAGGGGCAGGAGCGCAGCCGTCAGTATCCCCTGCACAGATAAGTTTGTCTTCTTTTCACAGATTGGTGAGTAGCCCACGACATTCCCTCCCACCCTCAGCTCTGCGAGGCCACGGTTTTAGCCTCAGGCCACATCCCACGGACCGGGTGGCCCCACACATAGACGTTGGCCTCTCGCATTTCCAGAGGCTGCACGTTGGAGGTCAGGGTGCTGGCCGACTGGGCTCCTAGGGAGGTCTCCTCCTGGCTTGGAGAGGGTCATCTTCTCACTATGTCTTCATATGGTAGAGAGAGAGAGAGAGATGAAGTTCTGGGGTCTCTTGTTAGAAGGGCACTGACACCATCATGGGTCCCGTCACGGGTCATAGGAGCTTCCATCATGGGTCCCACCAAGAGTTATGGGACCCCCGATCATGGGTTCCACCCTGAGTTATGTGATCCCTCATCATGGGTTCCATCATGGGTCACAGGACCCCTCCCAGCATGGGTCATAGAATCCCCTATCATGAGTCCCATCATGGGTCATAGGATCCCCCATCATGGGTCCCACCATGAGTCATGGGATCCCTCATCACGGTTCCATCATGGGTCATGGGACCCCCCATCATGTGTCATGGGAGCCCCCATCATGGGTTCTATCATGAGTCATAGAATCCCCCATCATGGGTCATAGGATCCCCTGTCACAGGTCCCATCATGGGTCATAGGATCCCTCATCATGGGTTCCATCATGGGTCATAGGATCCCTCATCACGGGTCCCATCATGGGTCATAGGATCCCTCATCATGGGTCACAGGATCTCTCATCATGGGTTCCATCATGGGTCATAGGATCCCTCATCACGGGTTCCATCATGGGTCATAGGATCCCTCATCATGGGTTCCATCATGGGTCATAGGATCCCTCATCATGGGTTCCATCATGGGTCATAGGATCCCTCATCATGGGTTCCATCATGGGTCATAGGATCCCTCATCATGGGTCATAGGATCCCTCATCACGGGTCCCATCATGGGTCATAGGATCCCTCATCATGGGTTCCATCATGGGTCATAGGATCCCTCATCATGGGTTCCATCATGGGTCATAGGATCCCTCATTATGGGTTCCATCATGGGTCACAGGATCCCTCATCATGGGTTCCATCATGGGTCATAGGATCCCTCATCACGGGTCCCATCATGGGTCATAGGATCCCTCATCATGGGTTCCATCATGGGTCATAGGATCCCTCATCACGGGTCCCATCATGGGTCATAGGATCCCTCATCATGGGTTCCACCATGGGTCATAGGATCCCTCATCATGGGTCCCATCATGGGTCATAGGATCCCTCATCATGGGTTCCATCATGGGTCATAGGATCCCTTATGGGTCCTATCATGAGTCATGGGACCCCCCGCAACCATGGGTCATGGGAGCCTCCATTGTGGGTCATGGGAGCCCCCATGATGGGTCATGGGTCATGGGAGCCCCCATCATGGGTTCCATCATGAGTCATGGAATCCTTCATCATGGGTTCCATCATGGGTCATGGTACCCCCCCATCATAGCGGTCCACCCTCATAACTTCAGCCCACCCCAGTCACCTCCCAAACGCCCTACCTTCTAACACCGTCCAACCAGGGGTCAGGGCTTCAACACAGGAATTTGGGACAGGAGGACACACACTTTCAGTCCACAACATCCGAGCTCCGGGGAACCTCCCAGGCGGTGAGAATGTCAATATGCCCAGAGCTGACGTGCCCTGACCCCACGGGGAGGGTGCTTGGATACCTTGGAAGAGGAGGGGGAAAGAGGAAGAGGAGGAGAAGGACAAGGAGAAGGGAGGAGAGGAAGATCATGAGCAGGGGGAGGAGGAGGAGAAGGAGGAAAAGAGGAAACAGAGGAAAAGGAGGAGGAGGAGGAAGAGAAGAAGACAGAGGGAAAGGAGGGGGAGGAGGTGGAGATGGGGAGGGAAGGAGGAGGAGGAGAAGAAAGAACAAGAGGCAGAAAGAAGGAGGAGGAGGAGAGGGTGGAGGAGGAAGAGGAGGGAGAAGAGAGGGAGGAGAATGGAGAGGAGTAGGAGGGGGAGGGAGGGGAAGACAGAGAAGGCGGGGTATAAGGGTGGTGAGCTGAGGAGGGGAGGAGGAGAAAGGACAGGAGGAAGAGAGGGAGGAAAAGGAGGGGGAGGAGGGTGGTGGTGGAGGAGGGAAGAGAGGAGGAGGGAGGAGGGGAGAGGGTGGAGGAAGGAGCGCAGGAGAGGGAGGGACGAGGAGGGGGGCAGAAGGAGTGGGAGGAGAAGGAGGAGGAGAATGGGCAAGGGAGGAGGAGGAGAGGGAGGAAAAGGAGGGGGAGGAGGGGGGAGAAGAGAAGAGAGAAGGAGGGGAGAGGATGGAGGAAGGGGAGCAGGAGGGGGAGGAAAAAGGAGGAGGAGGGGCAGAAGGAAGAAGGAGCAGGAGGAAGAAAAAGGAGAAGGAGGAGGAGAATGGGCAGGGGAAGAGGAGGAGAAATGAGAGGGGAAGAGGAGGGTGACAAGGAGAATGGGGAGGAGAGAGAGAAGGGGTAGAAAAAGGAGGAAGAGGAGGAGGGGAGGGAAGGGGAGAAAGAACAGGAGGGCAGGAGGTGGGGGGAAGGAGGCGGGGGCCAGGGCTGGACTTCCTTCCAGGGGCCCAGGGGAGACCCAGACAGACAGCTGGAGACACAGGGCTGCGCTGGCCTGAGAATGTGGAAGTGCCTGGGGTTCCCTGGACGTGGAGGATGCCCTGGGCCACTGGGAGTGGCGGGGTGGCGGGACATCCCCTCAGGGGCTGAGGTGGGGGTGGGGGGGAGGAGAGAAGCCTGGGAAATGGATAGCTCCAGAAGGATGTGTTAACAGGTCAAACAGTGCAGGAGTCTTTTGGGAGGGCCCATCCCTGAATGCTGCGGGAGAGGGCCCTCAAGGGCTGCAGTGGGGCTGTAGGCGGGCAGAGGCGGCATGGGGAGCGGGTTGGCGCTGGCAGGGGGTGGGGAGTAGGGGCCAGGCTGCCCGCGGGGCTGAGCCCAGAGATGGAGGGGGCAGGGACAAAGATGTGCACCTGCCAAGTCCCCAGAAAAGCTGGTACTGAAGTGACCAAAAGGGTGGTTCTCAAGGCTGCTCCCAGGACGTGGGGTTTCCCAGGATGCATAATCCTAAGGAGGGTCACTTCCCCTCAGCGCCCCCCAGCACGGCTCAGTTCCTGTTTGAAGTATCTCTAGAAAAAAAAACAAAAAAAAAAAATTGATTTTTACTGCTAAAAGTGCTTTTCTCATTGCTAGAGAAATTAACTCCACCCAACATGGGACCTGTGAGAGTGTAATGAGGACACTATTCCTTCATGCACTGGGGAAGATGAGAAGTCATTTCAATCGCAATTTCGCTATGAGCTTCGGATCCAAAAAGTAAAACTGTACCGGTTCCCCGCCCCCCACCCCCACCCCCGCCGTGGACATCCTGATTTTTGGGAAGTTGCACTTCTGGGCCTTCGGGACGGGGCAAAAAAATCTCTGATAACGCCACAGAACGCACGGATCATTAACAAAAAGAAACAAAGAAAAAGGCCGAGCTCGGTTGGCCTCGCCCTGTCATTCCCAGGACTTTGGAGCCAAGGCGGGCGATCACAAGGTCAGAGTTCGAGGACCAAGCCTGGACCAACATGCTGAAACCCCGTCTCTACTTAAAAATACAAAAACTAGCCGGGCGAGTGGCGGGCGCCTGTAGTCCCAGCATACTCGGGAGCTTGAGGGCGGAGCATCTCTTGAATCGGGGGGAGTGGAGGTTGCAGTGAGCCAAGATCGCACCACCGCACTCCAAGCCTGGGCGACAGAGCGAGGGACTCCATCTCAAAAAAAAAGAAAAGGAAAAAGAAAAAGAAGAAAAATTACCAGATTCTCCATTCCATTCGCGTTCTCCATTCCGTTCTCCATTTCCGTTCTCCATTCCCATTCTCCTCCATTCCGTTCTCCATTCCGTTCTCCATTCCATTCTCCATTCCATTCCGTTCTCCATTCCCATTCCGTTCTCCATCCACTTCTCCATTCCTTTCCATTCTCCATTCCGTTCTCCATTCCGTTCTCCATTCATTCTCCATTCCATTCTTCTCCATTCCTTCCGTTTCCATTCCGTTCTCCATTCCGTTCTCCATGCTCCAGTTTCCATTCCATTCCATTTCCTCCATGTCCATTCTCATTCCATTCCGTTTTCCATTGCCATTCTCCATTCCGTTCTCCATTCCATTCCATTTCCATTCCATTCCGACTGACGGGAGTCTTGGCTCTGTCGCCCAAAGTGGCGTGGGATTACAGGTGTGATGCCTCTGGGCCCGCCTATGTTTATATTAGTATTTTATTTATTTATTTATTTTATTATTCTATTTTTTTTTTTGAGGAGAGTCCTCCTCTGTCGGTCCAGGGCTGGAGTGCAAGTGGCCGATCTCAAGCTCACTGCAAGCTCCGGCCGTTGCCCTGGGTTCCCCGCCATTCTCCTGGGCCTCAGCCTCCCGAGTAAGCTGGGCCACAGGCGCCCACCACCGCGCCCGGCTAGTTTTTTTTTGTATTTTTAGTAGAGACGGGGTTTCACCGTGTTAGCCAGGATGGTCTCATCTCCTGACCTTGTGAATCCGGACCGCCTCGGCTCCCAAAGTGCTTGGGGATTACAGGCTTGAGCCACCCGTCGGCCTGTTTTTTATTATTCATTTCATTAGTATGTTTTTTGGTTTATATTTTGTAATTTGTGCCGCCTGGCAGCCTGTAATCCCAGCCACTTTGGGCCAAGACGGTGTGTGATCACGATTTGTCAGATGGATTCAGACCATCTCTGGGTAATCGACAGTTTGTGTGTAAGACAGCCGTTACTTGTTTATATATTATATACAATTAATTTAAAGATTATAGTTTTACGTGTAGTATTATTTAGTTGGTTTCTGGGGGTGATTTGTTTGAGTTGTGTTTTTTTTTTTGTATGTGGGGGGCGGCTCGCGGGTGCCCGCTCGCGCCCCCCTGTGTGTTTGTGTTTTTTATGTCGTTTTCCTCTTTGTGTCTTGTTCTTTTCTTTTGGTGTTGTTTGGGAGTGTGCTGAGTTTGTGGGTAGTGGGGAGTGGTGGGTTGGTGGTAGTTGGGGTTCAGGAGTTCTTGTAATGGCCGAGTGTAGTTGGGACTCCGGGTGGGGGTATTTGTTTTGGGCGGAGCTTGCTATTTGTTTTTAGGCGAGCCCGCCCACTGCACTCCCAGCTCTGTGGGTTTCGGCTGGTTGAGTGGGGGGTTGTGTCGAGAGCAGAGTGCGCTGTGGTCAAACATATGTGGTTAGTTAGGTTTGTTGTTATTGGAGTTTTTTGTTAAGTGTTAAATTAAAAGGTGGTGCTGTTTTGGGTGTGTGTAATACGTATTTTTATCAGGTTTATATTCTGTGTTTGTTGTGTATGTGGAGTTTGGGTAGTTTGTTGGGTGCAGGTGTAGGGTGTAGGAGGTGTGTGCAATTTTGTAGTGTTGCATTGCGGAGTGGCCAGTGTGGGAAGTGTCTCTGCTTTCTGTTTGCCCTATTAAGGTGCTCTTTGTGGATGTTTATATGTGTGGGAGTCTCCTCCGGGCCCAGGCCGATTGACGTGTTGTGGGTTATATTTGGGTTTTTTTTGTATTTTTCGTGTATTTTGAGTGGGTGATATTTATTCCATTCTAGTTCATCTCAGTTTACTACTTTCATTTTCATTTCACTGTGAGATGTTAGTGAGTTCCTTTTCACTCCTGTCCCGCAGCATAGG